AAAAAAAAAAAAAAAAAAAAAAAAAAAAAAGGCACCAGTAAACCTAGTGAAAAGAACAACTCTAGCTGTCCAGCACACATGCAGAGCAGAAACTGATAAATACATTAATCATACTAATAAAAAATGACACCCTATAAGGTCATCAGATTCAATCAGGACACAGGACATAGTCAAGTTACACCAGGTCCATGAGCTTATTGACACCGCACCAACTGGGCCACTGTCACCCAGAGAAGAAGGAAACCATGGCCAAAGAGGAGGTAGTTGAGTTTGAGACCAGCCTGGGCTACAAAGTGAGTTCCAGGTCAGTCTCAACTATATAGTGTTACCCTGTCTCAAAAAACAAAACAAACAAACAAAAAGAGGAGGCAGTTGAGTGTTTATCAAAAGTGTAAATGTGGAGAACCATAGATCCGCCCCTCTGCCATTTTGATATAGCCTATGAAGCCACTTTGTATTAGGTTTAGTTTTCGTGTAGATCACACGATATGTTCCCGTGGGTGTTTGATGTATCCTTATAAGGTAATAATCTGTTCTCTGTATGCTGATTGGTTGCATTATGGTATATATGTTGCCACCCCTTCCGGGGGCGGGGGAGAGAGAGAGAGAGTGGGGTAGAGATCCGGAGATGAGGAACTAAAGTAAACTCCTTGTGTATCAAGTGTGTGCCTCTTTGCTCACACGTCGCCATCGCCAGTTCAGGCCCCTGTAGTCGCAGACCGAGTTGCCCAAGGCAATCCGGCTCGCGTAAAGGCTGGGGATTTGGGCTCAGTGGTTCCAACACCTGCCCTGAAAGCACAAGGGCCTGAGTTCAATCCCAGGTACCAAAAAAAAAAAAAGTCTAAGAAAGCTCCTGTAGGGAGGGTCTTCAAATGGGTGGCCAGAGTAGGCTCTCCGTCTAGGGTCGTCCGTATCTAGGTGGCCTTAACAAGTCCAGGTGGGCTTACCCTGTGGAGTTTGGATGTGAGCTGTCCATGCTCTACCATAATCTATAAAGAATGGAGCATGTAGTGGCCATGCACTGGTCAAGCACTTTGCTATTAGGAATCTTGCTGAATAATTAGGGAGAACAAGTAAAAGGGAGGAGGGGCTCAGTTACAATGGTCACTTCCCTGCCCAATGTTACATTCCTGAGCTTAGTAAACCCATGGCTTGAGATAACTCTTAACCCTGTGTCTGCTGTTTTCTTCATAAGGCCGACCAGCCCAATGACATCTTCAGCCATGTCCCTTACTATCTGCCTTATAAACTAAATGGTGGGCTGGGGATTTAGCTCAGTGGTGCCACCACCTGCCTGGCAAGCACAAGAACCTGAGTTTGATCCCCAATACCAATAAATAAATAAAATGGCTACACTGCCTCTTACAATTGGGCACAACAGATCAACAAATGACACAACCCCCTTCCCCTGAATCATATAAAAGGCGGGGCACCCAACACTAGGATACAGCAGCAATTGACACCCACATATCTACTCATCAGAACACCTGGTGGACAATCACTTCCATTGATGATAGCCAGTTTTGTCCCCACCTTCAGCTCAGCTCAGCTCGGCTTTCCAGGCTTACAGAGACCCATTTTAACAGACTGCCATCCAGACTATGGCTTTGAGCCAACTCAGCACTCTCACCAAGCCTTCTCCAGAAGTCCTGCCTAGTCTGCACCTCTTTTCTATGTGACTCTTCACACCTCTGTGGGCTCTCTGCCTTGGCTTTCAGTCCTGTCTCCAAACTCTGCAGTCACCAGACCTTTGCACTGGGCTACACCCCCAGCTCCCTCCTTTTTAACTAGTTTTTAATTTTGAAACAGGGCCTTGCTAAATTTCCGAGGCTGGGCTCCAATTTAAGACCTTCCTGCCTCAGCCTCTCAAGAAGCTGGGATTACAGATGTGCACCACCCTGCCCAGCTTTGTTTTGCAATCTATATCTTATTGTGGGAAGCGTGATGTGTGACTTGAGTGTTACGGATATTACTAATTAAAACTGAAATAAAGAACTTGTGATTGTCCAGCTCACTGGCCATAGAAGGAAATCAGGAATACTTGGCCAGACAAGGCCAATGAAACTGATGTCACTAGCATCACTGGTAGAGCTCACCCACATCACATGGTAAAACTCATTTGATTTTAAATGGGGCCTCTATGACCACGTTAAAGGTGCTGTTCTTTTTCTCCAACAGTCGTTAGTTAATGTAATATAAGCAACCGTGCCGAAGAACTGAGCCTGGGGCTTGGGTGACAACTTGCTCTGGTAACTGCTTGTCCCAACTGTAAATTAGAACGGACTTCAAAGGCACATTTATAATAAAGTGCTAAGAGTCACAGCCCAACAGAAATAAGAATTATCAAGGCTAGCATGTTTTGTAATCCTTAATTGGCTCCTTTCTGTCCTTGATTATTGTTTTATACCAAATATTTGTGGGCTTTGCTTAATTATATCTGCAGCTCAGTCAACACTTTCATCTGACAGGTGAAATCAAAGTTTAACAAAACATCCTCCCTGAGAGAAGAGCAATTTACAAAAACTCCTTGCCATTCTTTGTCATTATAGACAGTCCTTCCCTCGTTCACCAGCTCCGGGTGTGTTTACAAAGAACTACTCAACACCAAGTCCTACGAAAGCAGGATAAAGTCAGCCACCGTTAGAAGAAAAGCACTACTCTTTTTAACGAGGCCAAAACAAAAACGCAACTGGGCGTGGTGGCGCACGCCTGTAATCCCAGCACTTGGGAGGCTGAGGCAGGAGG